TTTACTTTGTAAATTGTTACTATCAATTGGAAACATTATGCCTAAAACAATATGCTTCATTTAAGCAATGATATTATATTCTTTTGAAATAGAAATATTAAGAAAGCAATTGTCTGGGCACGTTTTAATTATTATTTTCCTATGTTTTAACTACGAGTACTTCTCGCGGCAAACTTGGGAAATTCCGTAGAACGCTAATAGTTTTTATTGTTATTATTACGAAAATGAATCAAAAAGCCACCTATACGTATTTTTTTAACGCATATAAAGCATTTCAATATTTATTATAGCAATTTCTGCCAATGCCTCCAGTTGCCCAGCATGACATTCCAGCCATTTTAAGTTCCCAGTGAAAGCCACTTACCAAGCCAGGTTTTCCGTATTATTAAAAAACAAGTTTATGTAAAAATCTCTAATAATTCCTGCCGCAGCGTATCGATAATAAATACTTATATTCCAAAATTCAAGCAAATCCGTTCAGTATTGTAGGAGTTATGAGTAGTTCCGTTAATTAAAAAATACGCTTATTAGTTTTAATTACAAACTAATTCATGTAAAAATCTGTAATAATTCATACCGCAGCGTATCGATGATAACTACTCATATTCTAAAACTCAAGCAAATCCGTTCAGTATTGTAGGAGTTATGAGTAGTTCGGTTGATTAAAAAATACGTTTATTAGTTTTAATTGAAAACGAATTTATGTAAAAATCTGTAATAATTCATACCGCAGCGTATCAATAATAACTACTTATATTCCAGAATTCAAGCAAATCCGTTCAGTTTTGTAGGAGTTATGAGTAGTTCGGTTGATTAAAAAATACGTTTGTTAGTTTTAATTGAAAACTAATTTATGTAAAAATCTGTAATAATTCCTACCGCAACGTATCATTAATAACTACTTACATTCCAAAATTTAAGCAAATCCGTTCAGTATTGTAGGAGTTATGAGTAGTTTGGTTGATTAAAAAATACGTTTATTAGTTTTAATTGAGGACTAATTTATGCAAAAATCTATAATAATTCCTACCGCAGCGTACCATTAATAAATACTCACATTCCAAAATTCAATCAAATCCGTTCAGTATTGTAGGAGTTATGAGTAGTTCGGTTGAGCTTGTAGTTAGGTTTTGCGTTTGCGAGTTTGCAGGCGGGTCCGGAGAAGTATCGATTCAGTTCTGTGCTTTCAATTGTACTAATTTGTAACTTTTGATATAATTTAAAGATTCTACGAACTGACAATGGAGCTGCTCCGAAAAGTTTTCTATAAAGATATGAATTTTTGTGGACTATTCTTTGCTTTACAATTTTTAGTTAGCATTTGTCGGATAGATGCAGTCTGAATAGTTAGAAGGATTAAAGTTAATTGAGGTAATTCACTCCGGTCAGTCCGGTGACGTGCTATCATGCTGAGATCATGATTTAACTGTGGATCAGAATTTTATTGACAAGATTAAGTTGCTAGCTGTTTTCTAGAACATGAGATAACCTATTCATTTGGCTATTGTTCTTTACGCAGGTGTTGAAAATTTAATCACATCTAAGTCAGTTTGTTTTAGTGCATTTCTCGAGTCGCCAAGAAAACGTGAGTAACCCCAATGTTTTGACCAGGATTTCATGTCGAAATGTGATAACATTGACTGAAGGCAAGTTTCCGATCTAGGCCAGTATTGCACATTTGCACTCGAGATTACTAGCACTAGTTATCTGTTTTAAGAATCTGATTTTTGCTTTTGGGACATATGCTTGCATTAGCCTAAGCGGTTTGGTGTCACGATGTTTGCTACCTATTGTGTCCTAGACTTTGCCTTATTCTGCTGATATTATCATTGAGAATGTTTCAGCACCTGTTGACAATGTATAGGATTTGCAACACGACTCTGTAACTCGAGAATTATTGAATTAGGCTGTTGCATGATCACTCTTTTAGATTCAGTTTATGTTAAAAGGTTTTTCATTTTTAGAATTGATATTTTTCTGAGCAAAAAATAGGGAACCATGTCCCTTTGAATTTTCTTAGAGTAATAAGTTTAATATCTGATTTTCATTTGTATTTGATGTTCATTTTAGACAAGTTCTAACGAAATCCCGAATGTGCAGGATTTATATTCGACCGAATTTTATTCCGCGACAGCTACATTTCCGATTGTAAGCACAAATTGTCACCACAAATTAGATGAGCCGAGAGCTAGAAACCGATCAACAAATTCAGCGCTCATATTAACTGTTAACTTGGAAGCACAATCTAAGCTATATTTAAAATGGAATAAATCAGTTTCTCCGCTATTCAGGGGTACGCGAGAAAATTAAAAATTCGATTTAAAACGAAATGCTAGCAATGTCACATCACTTTGCTATTGAATGCGGTGAATGTCAGAGTGGAAATTAGACTATTGCGAAAAATCGAAGTTTATAGGTACGTGTCGATTGGACCGTCGACCAGATGCAGCACTAGGCAATTCTGAAGTGTGTTCATGAATGAACTTTCAACTGATCAACTTAGCTTCCATACCTCAGAGTTATTCCTCGTCACACCATTCTGTTGTCAACGCTTATTTTTACGTTACTCGTTCTAATGCGCGTCTCGGTCCATTTATTCGCATACAAAAACTATCGCATATTCCTTAAGAGGAGCTCCAGTACGCACTGAATTAATTCTTTAAGCCGCTACCAGGAGATTCGCAATGATGACAAGAATTATTGAAAACATGAATAATGAAAAAAAGGAATTGAGTGTAGGTGATTTTTGATTGAGTGATTTCGATTCTTAGAGATCGAAATCATGTCCTACCACAGTAAAGGTCTCCTTTCAAGTGAGTTTTCCTTGGGATAATCTTGTACAAGGAAATTCCAAGCATCCCTAATTGTAGTTTGGTCTTAAAAATGAAACAAGAACAGAACTTGCAAGTCATTTTTCACACGCTTCAAAAACACAACACTATTCGTTTAATGTTCATTGTGGTACCCAGTCCTCATGACATTCCAGCCGGTGAATGAAACCCAATCAACTGTAAATCAAGAAGTTAGAATTTGTCAATTTATTCCTGCAAACTGAAACATCTGTTCACTACAGGCTTACAAAACAGGTATAATGTGGACAATACACAAGTAACTGTAGACATGACAATTGTGGGCATATATCTGGCGTAGGATGGCAGTTTACAAAAGAACCAACACCTAACCTCGTCGGACTAGAATTGCTTGCAAAATAGAAGTTTACTCTACGTGTGCCACGCAGTGAAGTTACTTATTTCTTATCTAGCTCAAATGTCGCAAAAAATATTCTTGCCTGTTATATTTTCAACAAACATGATTACGAGTTCTCTAGAACTCGTGAATAATCCATATCTCACAATTAACATCGTTAAGGACGCACCCGTTGCTCTCAACTCCTACCTGCAGGTGGGTATGGCCTCGGTGGTGAAAGTAGCCTTGTAGCCTCTGTTTTCGTTTTCCATGCCAGTGTAGTCTCCGTTCATGTAATGAAGGATGAGCTCCGACTTGTCACTTTTGAACGCTGTTCCTTTCTCAATTTCTTCACCACAAAATCTGAAATAAATCACGTAAATTTGAACACAGCTTCCGTAATAAAAACCAGACAATTAATTTCTAATCCTTTCACTTGAACTACTTTGGGGAATTTTTTACATTAGTTAATACAGTGAATTTTTCATACTTTAATCTTGATCAATTGATGAAAATTAAAATATTTTGATATTACACCGCAACAGGCAATAAGTAGATGAATGAATGAATGAAATTACTTCATTCACACTTAAGAACCATGAAAAAATAAGCCATACATTTGCCCTTCGGGCACGGAGACGTCAGAGCGGATCTCCAGGAAGCCGTCGTCGCACTTTTCTTCTTCGTCTTCGCTGCGAGCCTCTATTTGGAAGTCTTGGAACGTGAGCACCGCTCGCTGGCACTTCCCAGCACGGAAAACCTGCGTGTACTGCGTTTCTGGAAAAATTAAATTATGTAGGAGTTATCGTACTTTGTTCATACAGTTACTCGATAGAACTTTGACGGCATAGAAATAATAATTTTTTGTGCATGCAGTTGCTCGACAGAACACAGACATTATAGAAATAATCAATTTTTTGTGCATACAGTAGCTCGATAGAACACAGACAGTATAAAAATAATCAATTTTTGGGTCATACAGTTGCTCGATAGAACACAGACAGGATAGAAATAATCAATTTTTAGGGCATACATTTGCTCGATAGAACTCAGACATTCTTGTTATTCGTTATCATGCTGGTTGTTATTCGTTAGAAGAACGAATAACAAGAACACATTCTTGTTATTTTTTCGTCAGTTTACTGACAAAATGCTCGCTGAAAATATGCAACGACGTCTCATTAATTATGTTCATAGTCACACTACCAACCCACGAGGTATTCTCTAGTCGAATCAACGCTGAAACAACCGCCATTCAGGACATTTGAACCACGTTAAAAACTGATTCAGAAGGAAAGCAGCCTCACCGTTACTTTTTTACTTATATTTCCATGATACTCACTACTCATTAAGTTGAAGCACCATGAAAAATTGTCAATTAAACTTTTCCAATCAAAACAATCGCCAAGAATTACATAC